TCAAATGTAATTAATAATTAAATATTATGAGATATATTTTAATTAATAAATAATGAATATAGTATGGTAAATTGATGAACATAACATATTGTATAATCAAGTGATGTATAACATAACAAATTTAATAACTTAATTAAATATAGTATGATAAATTGATGAACATAACATATTGTATAATCAAATGATATATAGCATGACAAATTTAATAATATAATAGCTTAATTAAACATAGTATGGAAAATTTATGAACATAACATATTGTATAATTAAATGATATATAGCATGACAAATTTAATAACATAATAGCTTAATTAAACCTAAATTAATCACACATTTGTATTAATCATATATTACAATAGACCCTCATACTACTATGAATTTATTGTTAGACTTTTTACATTATGGTCCTACACTTTTAATATAATTTCATTAAGGTCCTACACTTTTACTTTTATGCTGACGTGGACTNCTATCTAACTCATCAACAACAACAATTTCCTTGAGAAAAATATGAGTCGCCTGAAATCATATACGTACTATGTTTTAGTATATAGAGAAAATCTTTTAAACATAAGATTTATTACGTTATCCATGCACCAAATAAATAAAACTCTATTGCATTGTATAATTTTTTTTTTTTTTAAATAACCTATTGAAAAGATTGAAAATAATGCATTTATGAAAAATCACACTGCTTTATTGCATTCATTATTATTGCGTTGCTAAACGATGCAGTTTATCTATTTTAATTTGTGCAGAATAAAAGCAGTTGTGGACAAGAAAACTTGCATTAATTATATTCGGATTAAGCTACCAATTACCAATAATTGACTAATCAATTATTATATTTATAAATAAAGCTCATCTCATGTTTATCTGACTCACCGCCCATATATTATGAATAAGATAAGAATTTGACATGACTTTGCAGTTTTTTATTTCATTTAATCTAATACTTAAAATTGTGTTGTGACGATATATTTGGAATCAGACAATCAGTGTTTCAATAATTGGAATGGTACCTTTTAATTTCTAATAAAAATATGAAAAACTTGCATAATACTAGATAAATAAAAATTTATTATCTAGTAATTTTATTTTAAATAAAAATTTCAATAATGCAAAGTCCACAACCTTCTCTCATAACCCTCTAATGTGGTAGCTCATAATTGATTAGCAAGTAAATAGGCAGGCAGACCAATAGCAAACAAATGGGACCTATTTGTAAGCTATCACGTCGGGGGTTGTGAAAAAAAGTTGTTGACATATTATTACTCTAAAAATTTACTAGACATGTTTGTAAAAAAATTAATTATTTGAATTTAAAACAGAATAACCACTTGACTTTCGTCGGATGACAAAACCTTAGGTTATCCAAAGATCTTGTGTTCGGGGGTAACCATCTATAAGTCAAAAAAGTGACCATCTATCACTTTTCTGACTTATCTAACTTATTGGATTTGTAAAATGTTCATTGAATCCTAAGGATTAGTTGAGATGTGTGCAAACTGGCACAGTCACCCCGTCACCAAAAAATAAAAAATAAAAAATTATTATGCTTATTAATATATATCAAATTATCTAATTTAACATTACATTAAGTCCTCAAAAAAAAAAAAAAAAAAATTGTGTTTTTAAGTTCACAAATACAACAAAATGTGTTCATTTATTTCTATATAATTCGCAATAGATATAGTATTNAATTTTATATTGATTCCCAAAAACCATCACCCAAAATTGCAGTAAGTGGAAGATCCTGTAATTCATAAAGGAGCAAGAAGATCAAAGAACAATTGCTATGGCTGGAGGTTTGTCATTTACTTACGCATATATTCCATGGAGATTTTAAACTGAAATTGATTGTGTTATCAATGAATATTGGAATATGTATGTGTTTTACATTTATGGGTGTTGATACAAAATATATATGTAGACATTAATGATAATATATATATATGAGATAACCTATAATTTTGATACTTTAATAACATACAAAATATATTTAATCTATGATTAATATATGTATGATAATAATTTTGTATATACACAATTACACATTATATATATATAACAAATTAATCACACATATGTATTGATTATATATTACAATAGACCTTCATTATGGGTGTTGATACAAAATATATATGTAGACATTTAAAATATTTATGATAATTTATGTAATGATAATATATATATGATAACCTATAATTTGGTAATTTAATAATATATTAAACATATTTAATCTATAATTAATATATATATATGATGATAATTTTGTATATATACAATTACACATTATATATATAAAACCCAATAACCAACAAACTAACCCCCAAATTTTAAAACAAAAGTCCAAACTCAATTCCACATTTTCCCTTACCTCGCCCAAATCCAAATCCAAATCCAATTCAGTCACAGCCCTAATTTGGTTAATCGAACGAACTCGAACAACCCTAAGTTATTCGAAGAGATATTTACAAGTTATTCGAACGAGTTAATCGAATAATTAATCGAACGATCACGAACTACTTGTTTGGTTAATCGAAGGAATCGAACATCCATTTTATGTTCGTTCGAGTTTGGACACGATTTCGAACACCTCTTTGTGCTTATTGAACGAGTTTTGAATGGAGGTGTTCGTTCGTATTCGGTTTGTTTGCAAGCCTAACAGTAACAACCTTAGTGGTTCTATTCCTGTGACATAAGTAACTTAAAGTCTTTCTGATGAAAGGCTGATACTTAATGGTTGTAATCCTCTTTCAATGGTAATTTGAGCAATTAATGAAGCTTTTAGGCAACAATTTTTGTAGTTTTATTCCTCCTAGTGGTAATTTCCATCTAATATTTAAATAATTGCATGTTAGTGGCAACAATCTTTTTGATTCAATCCTCTTAGATTTAGAAATTTCTCAGAATGGATATTAAATAAATTTCTGGCTATTTTAAATAAATTTTAATTACGTTTATTGTCATAGATTCACTAAAAGATTGTTCAATTTTAGAAAATATATTTAGTATTCCTTATCCATGGGATCTTGATACCTTTCTGAGGTTTTTTTTTGTAATAGTTTTAAATGGGTTTTTTATTATTAAAATAATATCTCAAGGGGTATTATTTAATTATTTTCTTAAAATCAAACTTTATACAATATTTTACATGAATTTTTAAACTTTAGTTTGGCGACAATATGTAGATGGTTAGAATTAGATAAGTTAATATCTGAATTCTGAAAAGAATAATACCCACGTGCTCCAAAGTTTAAATCCATAAATAAATGTGACTTTTTTTTTTCTTTTTTCGTGTAATTGTATCATTTATCAACTAATATAATGTTGAACCTTTATCTACAACAAAAATGATATAAGGTAACACTAGAGTGCAGCACTTTTTCTTAAAATGTTACTGTAAACTATCTAGAGTAACACTTAATGTTAAAATATTACGATAACAATTTTTATATGAAACATTTTAACTTTTTGTAACACATTTTATATTAATGGTAACTTTTTTTTTTAAATGTTATGAAAAATATATCTACAATAGCATTTTTAAAATATTACAATAGACCTAATAATATAGTAACTTTTTTATAATGTTACTATATAATCAAAATACAGTAACATTTTATAAGTGTTACCATAAACCCAATTATTTACCGGAAAACAAAATATTATTCTCGCCAATATGAAATGAGGTTGATTTTGTCTCATTTTTATTGTTTAGGGGTTATATATATTATTTGGGGTCTACTTTGTCATTTTTCATTCATGTAGGGACCAAAAATGTTTTCACATAGCCAAATTTTAATAAAATACCGCCATTCCAACCCAAAATTCTTCCCTTCCCCCCCAACTCATTCCCAGATGGCAAAAATCTTCTCTACGACAGTGAGCGACCAACTGTGGTGTCAAGGTGTCAACAATTCTTTGACCAGGTAACCATTTCAATATTTACTTTGAGTTACAGAGTTTGCCTTTTCTTTTCTTAACCCTAAACCCATAGATTTTACACCAACATCTCTGTTCCTCTTCTTCTTCTTCTTCTTCTTGGCTCTCTAATGGTGGCCATTTCAACTCTACATGTACCAACCTAATTCCTGAAACCTTTTTTAGACTCCAATCTTCCAATTTCCATCTCAAAATCTTCCCCTTTTTCGCCTCCACTTTCATGTTCAATCTCCAAATCGTTGAATGGTTTAGAGAACTTCTATTTCGTTGTTTATGGAGGACTTTTTGTGCATCAGAAGTGAGGCAGTAGGTCGTGGAATTCTACGATGGCAATTTAATAGGAGGGTTCCATGATACCCACTGCTCTCTTATTATGCTTTGTCTGCTGAGGGCCATTGTTCAAATTTATTAATCTTATTAGTTGTGATGCGTCAGCTCTGACGTTCCTTGTGGTGTGGTGTCCCTTTCTGGTGGTCTCGAGTTACCAAAGTTTAGAGGACGTTTTGCTTCGTCCCTTTTTCAGTTACTTCCCTCTAGGTTGAATTGTATCCTGTTTGCCTTCCTTGATTAGGCTGGTTCCTCTGCTGCTTTTTGTTTGGCCCGTTATGGGATTGATCATGTCTGCTTCTTTCGTTGTGGTCTAGGCTGTCGTTTGCTGGGTTTCTCTTTTCTCTCTGGTGAATACTGTATAGATTTTTTGTATAGTGGCCTTCTGCTCTCCTTGTCCTTCGGGGCTTGTTTTTTATTTGCCCTCTGCCTTTTATGTTTCTCTCTTGGGCCTGTCCATTCTTAATTCGGATGTTGAGATCAAAGATTTTGTTGATAATGCTGGTACTTTCTTTCCTAAATATACTGGATTTGGCTTGGGTGAGTCAATTATATCTAACTTAGCCCTAAAGTATAAGAAGAAGGCATGGTTTGCTATGACAAAGGATTTCTCTAAGGATATGATGGTGTTGTATGATTTTGACAAAGCTCCAACGCTGGTTTCTATTCAGCCAACTTACAACTAACGCAATATCTTTTATGGCCCCTTTTAAGGTTAGTTTGTATTCAAATAATCTATTTAGTTCAGTTGGTAAATTGTGTTAAAGTTTTATATAATTCATGATAATCAAATCTTGCTTTCCAAAAAATTGAAAGCTAGTTGCCTGCTGACACTTTTTCTACTAGATTTTTGCCTTTGCTTTAAATGGTTACAATGACATCTAAATTTCTTAGTCTTTTTAGAGCTTCATTTCTATATGGGCTCCAGTTGTTTTAGTGGAAGAACAAATTGATGGGAAAAAAAGTTACTGAATGATATGTCTTTGCTAAGGTGTTTATGCATGATCTTGATTTCATCTTGTTTGATGTGTGCTTCCAAATTTTCTTAAAATGTTCAATGAGATGCAAATGAAAACCTTTTTCACACAAGAAAGTCATTTTTGAGTCAAACATAAAAGGGCAACATTATAGTAGTCTGTCTTCAAGATTCATTTATTTAGTCAATTTTCATTTGTATATTTGCAAGGGTTATTACTCTCCCTGCATTTATCCGGTCAGGAGTAGCAATTTTAGGTTACATATCGTTCACGTGTTTTTCAAGTAGTTGCAATTGAATGTTTGAGTACTTGTATTGCTAAAAAGACTAATTAAAGCCCATTATTTGAAACCTCAAAAGAGAAGTTAATTTTCATTTAGTATGGAGTTTTGGTGATTGGTATGGAGATATTGACGTGTTCTTACCTTATATCTTTGATAGACAATCGAGGATCTAGTAATTTTCAGAATTTAACTTTTTAACTTTTTTTTTTTTTAGTTAGACTTATTTTTGTAAATTGAGTTTATTTATTTATTTGTGTTAGTAGGTTTTATGTTATAGATTTTTTTCCCTATTTGTTCAGGTCTTTGCCACTGTCTAAGTAAGGCCTGTATCTTTAATTTTTTAGTAGACTTGATTGATTATTGGAATAATCATATTATTGTTTTCTCCCCCAAATCTCTCCCTTTCACTTCCGATGCTTCTAGTTTAATTTAGGGATGAGGCAGTAATTTTCAACTAGTAAGAGTATATGGAGCCTTGCATTGAACAGTAGGTTGCCGGCAGAGAGGCTTCACTCATGATTCAATATTACTAGACTTTAATTTCATAAAATAGGTTTCCATTTTTATTAGTTTAGTATTACATGGTTGGAGTCCCATCAGTAGAGGAAATGGTTTGTGAAGTTGTGGAAGTCGGCTCTTTTTGAAGGAATGCAAGGGCTTTAGATTCATGAAAAGTTAGATTTGATAAACCTAAGCATAAACTATAAAGGGATGCAATGGGAGAATTGGGATGTGAAAAAGGAAAAGTGACATTGGAAACATGATTGCTAATGTGGATAATTTAGAGGGCGAGGTTAGGTTGGATAAAGAGTTACCGAACAAAGGAGCAAACTGAATAAAGTTTGAATAAATTGTGTTTAAAGAAGGAATTTGTGGAGATTGAAACTAAAAGCTCAATATGCCAAAGGATGAGACAGTGTCTCCAGATTGCTTCTAGTATTTTGTACCCTTTTATCATCGATAGGATCATTAAAGGAGCATGGTTGGTCCAAGCTTAGCTCAGGAACGATGACAAAAGTTTGATGGTCAATGACGACAGAAGTTTGATGGTCAATTAGTAGTCAGTGGATCTCTGTTGGTCTTCAAGAATTTACTTTTAATTGAAAGGGTGTTACATGGATCTGCTCTTATGTTGATAAGTCTCTCATTGTCTCTAAATTTGAAGTAACCGTTCTTTCCATCCTTCCCTCCTTGTTTTTGCTAAACAATTTATACATCTTTTAAAAAGAATTTAACAGCCAACCCTGAAAAACCCCAATATGCTTTTCCTAAGCCATGTCCATAGAAATAGTTTCTTGGCTTGAGATTGTACTAGTGTTCAATCGAAGCCCAAGGTGCATTATAGTCAAACATTACATAAATTTCAAAGAAAAAAAATTTAGCTTTAAGGTGATTAACTGAGCTAGTTTGGGGATCCTATTACTGAACTTGGATGTTCTTGTTTGCAGCAACTATGATAACTAAACTAAAATATTGTTATTAATTTTAGAATGAGGTACCTAACAATCTCAGTTTGTTTAGGTTTCTTCTTTATATTCTAATAAGTCCGCAAACCTTGTGGTCCCTATGGATTTTCTGCTTCTATTTGAGTTATAAATTATTGAGTACTTTTGGATTTTTGGATTTTTCATTTGTAAATTCTATTGCTTGTGCAAAGCAAAAGTAGTTCTAACTGTCCTCTTCTAAATATGCAAATGAATTTTTGGAGGAATTTGTAAAACAAAATTTCCTTCCTCTATCTGTGCCTATAAACCACGACACACTGAAGTTGCTGAAAGGTGGTAAAAGGAAAATTGTTCTGACATTGGTGGAGGATAAGGCTGATGAGAAGTCAGAGAAATTGATCACACTGCTGAAGGCTGCTGCTTCTGCAAATCGTGACATAGTTTTTTCATATGTTGGAATTAAACAGTGGGGAGGCTTTGCTGATACATTTGGGGTCAACAAGAAGTCAAAATTGCCAAAAATGATCGTTTGGGATGGCGACGAGGAGTACTTAACCGTAAGTATTTAATTTTGAAATCTCGCTAACTTTCTTGCTACAAGTTTCTGAATGATAACTTTTCCATTCCTGTAAAATAAATAAAAGAAACATGAAACTTTATGGAGTACTGAGTTATCAATTAAAAAAAAAAAATTAAGTCATAGTGCATAATTGAGAGAGAACCCTCTTGGCTGAATAAATTTTTTTTTTCCTGATGTGTTGGCATTATTTTCTTAGAGACATAAACCAGAATACATACTTATATACTACATTTGTTTTTTGGAAGGTTGCCCCCTCTACTATGCTGACATTGTTATTAGCCTTTCTGTATATATTTTAAGGTGATGGATTTGGAAATGTCTAGTAACCTGTGAAGTTGGTTTATGCCGCAAGTGAGACTTCTTTTCTCTTTTTCTTCATTTATTGGGAGAAAATAATTCAGGTTCCCTCTTATTAATGTTTGACAAACCTTATGATCAAATACTTATTGTTTCACTTCCGAAAATATTTTGTTTTGTGTTTTTTTCTTTTACTCTGCATTATAGTATTGCAATATCATTACTTTGCTCATGTAAAATGGTGTGTTTTTTATTATATGTTGTATAGTTCAAATAGGGTTTGGGCTTCATTATTTCCTATTGAGGTTGAGGTATAACTTAGAAACTTACTGTTGCTCTTTTAAATTATTGGATGTAAGAACTAGTGATTGTGAAGTTGAAGATTTAAACATGTTCTTTTAAATTCTGGGCAAGGTTATACTCTTCATGTCATTAGTGTAGCTGTTGGTGAGGTGTGCATTATCTTAGTATCGAAATTTTCTCATGTTGAGGTATATATGTAGTCAATGTTTTAATTGTATGAACACACAGTTTATGTATAGAGTTTGATCTATCTTCAGAAGTTTTTAATTTTTATTTAAATTGTGTAGCATGACATGAAATATATCTAAGTAGGTCACTTTACTGTCTTTGTAAAACTTTAAAGGTTTTGGACTATAACATAATAATGTGTTCTTTGTTATTTAATTGAGTAAAGAAAGATTCTTGATGGTGTGCAAACTGCAATATGCAATCTATAGTTTGCAAAATTGCAGACTGCAGTCTGCAATTTTCTTGCCACAATAATCATTATGTTTCCTTGTGTGGTTCTAACTTTGGTCGTCTTGCACTATGTAGTGAAGTAACCACAGTTTCCAAAGATGGAAAAGCTTTTTGTTTTATACTCTTTCATTGGCTAGGAATGATTTTGTGATAACTTATTCTTTAGAACTAAAATTTGATGTGCCTCTGAACCTGGGGTTTGATAAATGAGACTTTGCTGGTGGAGAAACGTGATTAACTTTGTAATTTGTACCATTGTTTGTGCCAATGATGACAGTATATCATTAACGAGGCTTTAGGTTTGTTTCTTGTTTATTACAGTAAAATATGTATTTCTCATGACCATTTTTTGTGCCTATGTTGACAATATTTCATTAACAAGGCTTTAGGTTTTTCTGCTGGAACTGTTATCATAGTATGCTTGTGAAGTTGGAGATTTAGGCATGTTCTTTTCCTCTTTGTTTTGCATTAAATATTTGGGGTGCTTTTGTCTTGATCTTTTCTTGAATTTACAATATATATGTGTTGTCATCTTTGAGAATATACATGGGATTTGAAGATTTTTTTGTATTAATGGTTTTGTAGGTTGTGAAAATGCAAGATTACTTTTTTGGTAAAGCACAATTTGGAATGGAAGATGGTTTGCATGATGGTTTTTGTTGTTAGAATTTTTTGAATGATTGGAAGGTATTAGCTATTGCTCATAGTTAATTTTCCAATCATCTAGGTATTATAATGTAAAAATGATAGGTACATATTTGTTAGGCATATATAAAACTTTTGTATATGAAGGTTTATATGTTACAAAATGTGATATGATATATGAAGCATATTAGATTTTATGGATGTAAGAGATGTTGGGTGCCTATTTATTAGGCATATATGCAAACTTTTTGTATATGAATGTTCACCATCAATGAAATGTTATTTGGAAAATTAGTTTATCATTGTTTATAATTTGTATTATTCAAATTACAACTATAACAATTTTATATATGTTATAACAGACACATTGATAACACTTTCAAAATATTATGGAAAATAATTTTGTAACATTTATTAAATGCAATGAATGATACTTTGGTAGCACTTTTAACATGTTATTAAAAACTTTTCTGTAGCATTTTAACAATGTTATAGAAAACTAAATTGTAACCGATTAAGAATGTTACAAAAAACTTATTTATAGCAATTTGAGATGTTATAGAAAACTAAACTGTAACATGTTAAGAAAGTTACAGAAAAATTATTTATAACATTTTGAAAATGTTACAGAAAACTAAACCGTAACATGTTAAGAAAGTTACAAAAAACTTATTTATAGCATTTTCAGAATGTTACAGAAAATTAAACTGTAATAGGTTAAGAATGTTACAGAAAACTTATTTGTAGCATTTTAAGAATGTTACAGAAAACTAAACTGTAACAGGTTAAGAATGTTACAGAAAACTTATTTATAGCATTTTGAGAATATTACAGAAAACTAAACTGTAACACGTTAAGAATGTTACAGAAAACTTATTTATAACATTTATGCAGTGTTACCAAAAATCATTCGTAACTATAAATAAGTGCTACAATATACTTAACAATAGCATTTTATGACAGTTATTGAAATGATTAGTAACATGCAAAAAGTGTTACAAATGTCTGCTTTTTAGTAACATGGGTTGTCATAGCTGTTGAACCGGTCGTCACAGTCACAAAATTAAACCTAAATACCGTAGTTAGCAGTAAGCAGGGTCGAATCCACAGAGAGCAAGACTAACGACCTAATGTATATTTGAGTTAACGAAAGAGAAATTAGCAAAATGATTGATTAAAAAAAAGAAAAAAAATAAATAAAAGAAAATAAAAAGCATTAAATAAATTGCTAACTAAAACACAATATTAAAAACGTTGTCGCTACGGGTTCGGTTTTACTCAAGACCAACTCCCACAATTTCTCTCCTCGCTCTTCAATTTCCTAATCCTACAAGGCTAGGCAAATCAATAAAATGGCTTCCGGCAAGCTAGGTATAATCTATCCTGTCTCCCCGTCGTCTTAGTTACAAATGGATTGGTTAAAGACTATCATCGACTAACCAAAAAACGCTAAACCCTTAAACACCACTAGTTTGTACAACGTTAACAAGTACAACCTATCAACTTGTATCATCCAATCAACTAATTACACAACAAATGCATTCCTAGTAGAAATGATATTAAACACTAATACAACTTGATTGCAATAAATACCGAAGCAATTTAAAGTCATAATCAACATTCAATAATCTCAAACCGACATTCAATTATGCGAAAAGTTATACATCAATAAACGTTCTCAATGGACATTATCAATTCAACACGTCGAGCATCAGAATAATATTAAAGCATCGCAAACAAACTGAAACGAAAACAAATATAATCTGAATATAAGAAACTTAACCAAATGTCCAACATTCCGGGCTCATCCAACTAGTCGAGAGCTGATGAGGAGATCAATGGAGTCAATCTTGATCTCGCCTACACCGTAACAGACAACCGGGAACTCAGCCGCTCATGGTGGTGATGACGGAGGCTAAAACGGTGGAAACGGAGCTGATCATGGTAGAGAGGAGGTAACCGACAAGATATGATGCGAAGAAGGGGCGAAAACGACCAATAGACAACCCGGAATACGAACAGCCGCACTCGCCGGAAAACATTAATTTTTCGGCGAGTCTTCCAAAAAACGGTGGCGGAAATAGGATCCGAAGGTACCGATGGAAAGCTCTAGTGATGGGGAGTTTAGATCAGGTCCTGGGGAGGCGAGAAGTCATCGGAAATGAGCAAGATCTGGGCTGGAAGATGAAGAGGCGCGGCGGCAAAGTAGCGGATTCCGGCGGTTTTCGCAGCCGCTGAAGCTTGGGAAGTGTAGATCCGACCGTGGGGAAGGGAGATCAGGTCATGGGGGGCCGAAACGTCACCGAAAAACAGCGAAGCCTCGCCTGGAAGATGAAAAGTCGCGACAGCGGGAAGATGAAACGTCGCGACGTTTTCGTGATTCGCGGTGGTGGCTTGCGGTGGCTGATGAAGATCGGTGCATGGGGAGATGAATCGTCGCTGAAGAGAGACGAAGGGTCGCCGGAGCTTGCCGGAAAACTGGGTGAACAGCCTCCTCTGTACACGACTTTTCATCTTCTTTTTATAGAATAAAATGCAAACTATCACTTTGGTCCCTGCATGTTTGAAAGTGACAAAATCAACCCCAAGGTTATGACAATTTGACCCCTTAATGGCATAAATGAGACAACATCAACCCTAGAAAATAAATCACATCCTAATATCAACTTACACAATCTCAAATTTCAATCCAAACAAGCCAAATTAGTAAGAAAAACTCAAAATATGATTTTTAAACATAAATTCATAATTTCTCTTAATTGTCTCAATATAACTTCAATTCAATTACACATAGGGTCTTTTTATCACCAAAGTAGAGTCACTTTCATGACTCTAACAATAGCATCCTTATAAATGCTACGAATTACCTACGGTAACACTTTTTACATGTTACCGTAGGCCATTTTTGTTGTATTGTAGATGCAAAAAATCTACGGTTAGGGAAATAGAGTCTAATCCCGTGAGATTGAGGTCACTGACAATCCGGTGGACCTGCACACATGAAGAGACGAGCGTGAAGCTTACGGGAAACATCGCGGTGGTGTTTACCATAGGTACTCCGACGCATAAGTCAGCAAGACTGAAAGAGGCTATTTAATAAGAATTAAATGAAAGAAACATCACCGGGAGTCTTGTCAAAGGCCAAGACTACGGGAAGGTGTTGAATTCTCAGGAGCAAGAACCTAGGAGCAAATAAGTGGTTTTGAGTAATCAAAATTGAATGAATTATGAGAGGGCAAACTTTTGTTTATATAATGAACCCAGGGTTAGAATCTTAGTAAGACATTGAGTCCTATTTTAGGAGATAATCCCTATCAGGCAAGAAATATGATTTATTGTCCTTATCAGATTAAGTTTACTAGTCTGAGTAAGATTCGGGATCTTTAGCAGAAGAGGAAATATAATGGGTTTTTGACTTTCTATTTATGGACTACTATAGGCTAATAGGTTGGAACACAATTTAACTTAATTTGTAGGATAGCCCAGCTCATAAAGTGCGTAGTTCACAAAGTAACTTTAAGCGTAGACCTAACCGGAATTAGGCTAAGGCTTTGGGCCGTAACATATTTATTTCGTTATTAGGCATTGCCAGGCCCAAGATGACTTTTTGCCCATACAATTATCTTAAGCTTTTAGGTGGAATGACAAGTTACTAGCTCAAACAACTTACATGAAAATAATAATATTTAATTTAATTTTTAATGTCCAAGCATATTGTTGCGTAGCAAAAAAAAAAAGATATTCTTGTTATAAATATTGTGGACCCCACCAAATTTGACAAGTTGGGGGGCAATTGTCAACTTGACAAGTTTGGGGGATGATGGGGCAATATTCCCCCTCCCCTTCATTTTGAAACATCACAAAATTTGAGAATGGAATATATATTTCTTTTCTCACCCCAAATTATATAGATAATGAGAGATTAGATAATGTGTGGAAGGAGTCCTTAATGCAAAAGCTTTTTTTTCAATTAAGCACTAAATGAGAAACTTATTTGATTGAACGACTTACATTAATATTACTAACAAAAATACAAACTATATGAATATATAATACATATTCACTAGGGCTGTGTGAGTTATACTACTACATATAATTTTTTATGTATGAAATTGAAGGTTGACATCCAAGATGTATGCATGAAGATTTATTGTAAAGTTCTTGTCATATATATAGAATTTGATTAAAAAAAATTATAATCATATATACTTTTAAATACACCTAAACTTAATACCCGTTTCATATAAAATTTATATACAATATTTTGCTTTTAAAACAAATTATACAATAAATCTCATGAAAATGTGTGATAAAAATGAAATAAAATGTTTTCGAAAATAGTTTTTAGAGAAAATCCTAAAAGCTAGTTTGATATTAAAAATGAGTCGTTTTCATAGTTTTCTTTACGCATTCCAAACATTAGTTTTTGAAAATTATTGTTGAATCACTAATCACATAATTATTACGACAAAAATATATTTAAGATTTATTTATATTCAAAACTATATATATACATGAAAAAAATATATTTAACATTTATTTATATTCAAAACTATATCTATATATCTATATATATAAATATATATTTGTGTATTAGGAGATTGTTTCAAATATATTCTTTAATCAACAAATTTCAGTAAAAAAAAAAAAATCTCCTTAATTTCAACACAATACTACATATCAAGTAATAAATCATTTGGAAATTACTTTATAATTAAATTTTATAGAATTTTTAGTTCTTACTAGGTTATATAATATATGATGAAAGATTGCAAGTTATTGTGGTTTATGGGTTGTTAAATAATAAATAGAATTAATACTTGTAATTAAAATATAGTAATATTGTTCAAGGTGATAGATAGTATGTTTAATAATTAAATTAATACTAACAATTTGTTGTAAATAAGCATGTCATAGAGAGAAATTAATATGTCAAGTCATGAAATTTATTTAATAAAGGATCGACAAATAGTGTTACGTATATAAAAATGTACATC